TGGGCAGCCACATTCCCAGCCCCAGAGCCAGGGTCACCACACTGTCCAACCCCATGGCAGCCTCAGCCTCCAGACTGACTGCACCCCGAGGTAAGTGGGGGCAGTGTCGGGATTAGTGGGCGCAGCAGTGGGCTTGGAGCCAATGTGGGCACCTGGCTAGCTGGCAGAGACGTGCTGGCCCCACCCCAGGCCAACGGCTGCCCCTTGCCCCCCAACCAGGACTTCCTGTGGCTGCAGCGAGCAGCCCTCTACATCCTCGGGGACAAAGTCCAACTCAAGAGTGTGAGGCCAGATCCCCTGCAGCAGTGGGAGCTGGTGCCCACTGAGGTATTCCAGGAGCGGCAGGTGAAGGCTAGCTTCAAGAAGCTGCTGAAGGCATGTGTCCCAGGCTGCTCTGCTGCTGAGCCCAGCCTAGCCTCCTTCCTGCCCTTGCTGGAGGACTGGAGTGGCTGATTCAGATCCACAAGCTGCTGCAGGTGTTGGTGCTGGTGGGGAGCTCCTGTACTCAAGCTCCTCCGTGCTGATGGGCCTGGAGGACGGCTGGGCCATCACCACGCAGGTGGTATCCTTGGTGCAGCTGCTGTCAGACCCCTTCTACCGCATGCTGGAGGGGTTCTGCCTGCTGGTGGAGAAGGAGTGGCTGTCCTTCAGTAATCGCTTCAGCCACTGGAGAGACCACATTCTGGCTGGACAGAGCAGCAGCTTCACACCATCTTCCTGTAGTTCCTGGACTGCCTACACCAGGTCCACCTGCAATTCCCCACGGAGTTTGAGTTCAGCCAGTTCTACCTCAAGTTCCTTGGCTACCACCATGTGTCTCGCTGTTTCCGGACCTTCCTGCTGGACTCTGACTATGAGCACATTGAGCTGGGGCTGTTGTAAGAGAAGGGGCAGCGCAGGGGCCAGCTGCCTTGCAGGTCTGTGTGTGGACCGGATGAGCAAGAGGACACCCATGTTCCACAATTACATGCATGCACCCTAGGACACAGAGGTCCTGCGGACCTACAGCAACGTGTCCAATCTGAAGGTGTAGGACTTCTACACTGAGGAGATGCTGGCCGAGGGCCCTCCCTATGAGCAGAAACTGGCCCAGGGGCCCCCTGAGCCCCAAAGGAAGAATGGTCTGAGGGAGGCACTCCCCAGAGCAGGCACAGTATGGTGTGGCCTGCTACCACAGCTGTCCCGGAGCCCAGCCTGACGCCATCTCACGCCTGCTGGAGGAGCTGCAGAGGCTGGAGACAGAGTTGGGCTGACCCGCTGAGCGCTGGAAGGACACCTGGGAACGGATGAGGCTGCACAGTGCCTCGAAGCCCGGCCAGATGGACGTGGCACCCCTAGCTGCCTCCTAGCATCCCCTGCACCCCACCACCGCTGCTCGCTGGTTATGTACCAACAGGAGGAACCCCTGGGCTCCACCCTGAGCCTCAGCCTGGAGAGGGACCAGAGAAGTGGCTCCACCGCATCTGGCTCCCACCAGGCTGCCCACTGCAGCACCAGTACCCTGTACAGCCAGTTCCAGACAGCTGAGAGTGAGAACAGGTCCTATGAGGGCACTCTGTACAAGAAGGAGGCCTTCATGAAGCCTTGGAAGGCCCGCTGGTTCATGTTGGACAAGACCAAGCACCAGCTGCGCTACTACGGCCACCGTGTGGACACTGAGTGCAAGGGTGTCATGGACCTGGCGGAGGTGGAGGCTGTGGCACCTGGCACAGTCCACCATGGGCGCCCCTAAGAGCGTGGATGAGAAGGCCTTCTTTGACGTGAAGACAACACGTCTCGTTTACAACTTTTGTGCCCAGGACGTGCCCTCGGTCCAGCAGTGGGTGGACCGGATCCAGAGCCGCCTGTTGGAGGCCTGAGCCTCCCGGACTTGCCTGGCTGCTCTGCTTTCAGTCGTTACCGACCACTAGGGGTGGGCAGGGCCGCCCTGGCCGTGTTTACAGCCCCGGCCCGGCCCTCGGTAGTATTAAGGCCCCGAACCCCCAGCACTTGTGTGTACAGGCCCG